ATATTCCTCGAGGTATTTTCCTAGTAGTGCCCAATAGAAACAACCCAAATGCCCACTGTCTCTTGAATGCATATGTGAAAGATGACATATCCATACATTGTAATGCTCAGATATGAAAAAAAATGTATTTCTGATGCACACTAAAATGTTTTCCGTTTTTAATTTTTTTCAGATTTTGCATTTATTTATTTTTGCATGCTGTGTGTGTGTGTGTGTCTGTGTGTGTGTGTCTGTGTGTATCTGTATGGGCACACATAGACTAAGGTCTGAATGTGGCAGTCAGGACAACTTTCAGGGATTGGTTCGCTTCTCTGCACCATTGGGGTGCACTGATGGAACACAGGTCAAGCCTGGGCAAAGGCCTTTACCTACAGAGCCATCTCACGCCTGTGTTTGAACTTGAAAATTATGGTGGTCAGTGAACGAAGCCATAGAAGAGCACACACTGTAGGATCGTCTTTGAAATCTCTCAAATCACCATCTGTACAGATAGAAGTTGATTGGTGGTTACCAAGGGACAGGAGAGGGAGGATGCTAGCAGAAACTGCGAGATGGCTGATAATTATGGAGTCTTTTCTGGGGATAGGAAAGGCATTCAGAAATTGATTTGGTCATAGTTGCAGAAATCTGTGAATCTCCTCAAATGCATCGAGTTGTACACAATGCATGCATTGGGAATTCGATCTGCCTGGAGTTCCTTCCCCATGTGTCGCTCAATTGGCTGACTGCTTATCTAGCAGGCATGAAGCCCTGAGTTCAGTCCTCATCACCACCCAAAACTCAACGGTGCTGCACACCTATAATGCCAGCATTTGGGAAGAGTCAGGGCGGGAGGATCAAAGTTCGAGGTTACACTTGGTATGAAACTGTGATGAGTTCCAGGCTGCTGATACCCTGTTTTAAATCAGAGAGAGAGAAAGAGAGAGAGAGAGAGAGAGAGAGAGAGAGACAGAGACAGAGAGAGAGACAGAGACAGAGAGAGAGAGACAGAGAGAGAGAGACAGAGAGAGACAGAGAGACAGAGAGAGACAGAGAGAGAGAGAGACAGAGAGAGAGAGAGACAGAGAGAGAGACAGAGAGAGAGACAGAGAGAGAGAGAATATCACCCATGCCACTTGTTCTTTTACATAGTATTTTCAAGTGTCATTCTTAGGAAAGTCCCTACCTCCTTTAACTAGGTTCCAGGTATTTCAGAAGGTAGGAACACAGGCTGTGTAGCTAACCCATTTTCCTGAGCCCCCTCATTTATTTAAGGCATAAGTGCTATGCTGCCATGTTTGAAGTGTTTGTTCTTATACCATCCTGTCTGCTTTGTCACATATCCCAATTCCTATTAAAAAAAAAAAAAAAGAACATTTATTTTAAAGTGATGCAGCCTGCTTTGGCTATAATTATTCAATCTTTCCTGTATAGATTTTCCAGTTTATGAGTATCATAAAACAGAATTGGCTAATCTAATCCAAGCTAATGTTGCATTTTAATCACCGTGCATTCCGCCCTCAGGTATACTTTGTTCTTGCTCTAATTTATTGTTTTGGTCCTGTTTCAAATTATAATGGGAAGATCTGCTGTTGGCCCCGATGACCAAGGCTACCGAAATTCAAAGTGCAACAGATAAAAATAAACACTCTTTTGGCCAGTTTTGGACAAACAATTATCTAAAGGCTGTGAAAGGCATGAGTTAAATTTAATAGTGTTAGAACTATTGCGAAGAAGTACTTGACACACAAACCTGGAGCTTATTCTCACGCACCTCACAAGTGCTGATCCTTCACAGAATTGTCCTTAGTGGCTTCTTACGCACCTCCCTCTCTGTGTTGCCCTCAGCCCTTCTCTGAGACAAACCAAGCTCAACCCTACTGTCCCAGCTCTTATGTCCCTGCCAGCTGTCTCTTCTCCCAGGCATGAACCTTTCTTCTCTCCGTCTGCTCTATATTTGTTAAAACTGCCTGTGTTCATCATTATTAGTATTAAGAATAGCATATCTTCCACACAGCACTAGATGGTGGGAAATGATTTCATAAACTAATTAATTACTCTGGCTTATGATTAGTTCTCCCCCAGGGTAATCCCATTCAATCAAGAGATCCTAAAATTTAGGACTGCTTAACCAAAGAGAAGAACCAACAGCCAGTAGAATTTCAAGCCTGAGAGCAGTTCTGTGGCAAGGCAGTTTGCAGTGATGGCGGACGACTTACATACACACCAGCTTTGGTGGTGGGGTGACCATTTGCAGGTGATTTGAAACGGAATCTTTAAATTATAGGTCACTATGATTATCATGCCTACCAATACATTTTAAGGGATTTCCTCACATTTACGTAAGCCATGCCCCCCACCCCCCGCACTCCTTCGTTGCTATGGACACCTCACACGTGTTAAGTGAGCACTGCTCCACCAAGCCCATCACCAGCCCAGAACCACCACCTAGGTCAAGTCATGAATACTCTGATAGCTAGAAAACATGGTGGGAAAGAGAGCTCAGCAGAACTTGTGGGTGGCTTTAACCTTCATGCATCTGAAGTCAAGTTCTGGAAACAAAACTAAGCTTTTTGATTCGGTGGAGGAACTCTAACAGCGGTTTCTGCTGTTGTGCTCGCTTTATAGTTTAAATTTCAGAACTAGCCCCAAAGAGATTGGAATTCTTGTGTGCTACTGACTGCAGAGGGTCAAATAATTCTGGACCTTGGGTTGTGTGTATTTCTTCCTTCGTGAGGACAGCATGTGGGATATTTAGCTGCTCAGCGAGCTATGCTTATCTGCCCGGAGAGCAATTAAGGGCTGCGGCTTTCTGCTTTCTTTCTGTGTAGATTTTGATATCAGGACGGCAGTAAGGTGAGAAGTCGTTAACTCGGAAAATGTTTCAAGTTATCGTTCGGGAAGTAGGGAGTTTGGTTTGGTTATTTGTTGTTTTCTGTTCTGGAATGTCCAACAAAATTACAATAGTGTACTTTCCCCCCTAACTCTAAAAAATACTTCATATTCTAGTTTGAACAATCAGTGTGGTTGGCAGCATAGAGATCCCGCTCCACTTTAAAAGTGACCAGTAAATAGCAGTAAGGAAACTCTTCCGTAGCTCATCCATGTCTGCTTCGCATGGTATCAGCCTTGCTTTACTGACTTTCCGTGGGTACAATCTGGATGAATTCTTTACGGATACAACCCACACCATGAGTTCGCCTTCCTTCACCCTGGCTGGGAGAAGCAACTTTCCTTTTTCCTCCTCCTTTTTTCTTTTCAATTTTTTTTTTGCCTTCCGTGCTGATTTGATTCCAGCGCTTATCCACATCTCTCTGATAAGCACAGTTTGATTTCTAGCTAATTGTGGCTGCGTTGTTCATTATTTATGAGTGTCATTGTCAGAATCCATTTGGAAGTCTGACTGAGATAAAGCTGATTCCAACTTCCGATATGACCACGGCAATAAAACAATTAACCACACTAGTTTAAATGTGCCGGGCCTGGAGGGGGCTAATATCTTTACAACCAAATATTTACTAGATCGTGTCTTGTGTTTGATTTATTTCCTAGAAGATTCAACATGCCATTTTATCACAAATAATTTATAATACCCTCTCTTAAAAATATAATGTAGGTTTCTCATAACAGCAAATTAACACTAAAATATTCATGTAAATCCATAAGATGGAAGTGGGAAAATTAAGACCATGAGTCATATAAATGCTTAATATTCATAAAAGATTTGGTAAAGAAGCTGTGTTTAAGTCAGTCTTTTTCTCTTACTCTTCCTTTTATGTATTTGATTCTGGAGGTGCCTACGTCTGGGGCCCTCTCATACAGGCAAGATGTAAAACTGGGTTTGCCCTTGCCTTCTCTGGATCTTCTACAACCAAGCAGGATTCAAATTGTCCTTATCCACAGAGTAATAAAATCCTGAGATCACAAAACAAATACAAGTTGGGAAGAGTCATTAATACTCGAGGTCTTTCTAAAGTGCCACCTAATTTAAACACTTTTGCTTTAAGTGATTGCCGTGCCATGAGTTTTATTATGCTCAATTTATTAGTGAAGGCTTGCGGAGTTCACAGCCATTCATTTTACAGGGGACCTGATTGTATCAATTAATTTTTAAAATTGTATCAACTCCCACTTCCTTTGTAGAGTGCGCTGGACTTGGAAAACTCGGGTTCACTTTGGTCAATCCAGATGTTTCCAGGTGTTTCTTCAAAGCAAGACATCTAGGAAAATAGATATGCAATGCGTGGCGATAATTTTCAAGGTGTTACACTACTGAGTGTTGAGGTGCACACGCCCATACCTACACAGACATGCACACACATCAAGATGTACACACACATCTACACATGCACACACATACATATGGATGCACACACGATACACACATGCACATGTGCACGTGCATGCGCAAACATCTACACACACACACATAGGGAGAGAGAGAGAGAGAGAGGGAGAGAGAGGGAAGGAGAGAGAGACGTTTATATTGCTTTTTGAGTGAAAGCGAGAAGATGCAGTTAAAATGACCAACTCCTGTTTCTACTTAAGCAGTAGCTCATTACCCTGAGGTAAACTTTTTTTCACCCAAAGAAGTAACATGTAAGCGGAAAAAAGATCCCCATAGTTAGGACCAAAACTAGGGCAGACGGCCATTTCTGTTGCTTCACAGTCACCTAAGCCAAATTCTGCCATCAAAAACCAGTTTTTGGGTCTGTGTTAGGTTTTCGAGGTTGAGCCATGAATCCATCTCTGGAGGTGCCTACGGGTTGAAGTTGACCAAAGCATTCTGAGCGGAAGTCCGCATCCAGTCTACTGGGCCTCCTCCCGCCCCGTAGTTGCATCCACTTGACCATGTGTCCCGCAAAGCTGACGCAAACCCCTGGTGCTGGGAGCGGGAAAGCCTGGACAATCAAATGTTTCTTTCAGGGAAGTTTTCTTTTTTGAAAGAAAATAAAGTAAAAGAAACTAAACCGCGGGACTCATATACTTACTAGTTGTTGTCTCTCTTTCCCCCTAATTAGGACAGAATTTTACCCTAAGGCAGTTAGGCGTGTGTGAGTCCGCAACCCGAAGAGGAGTGGCATTCTGTGCAGAAATGGGGCTCCCTCACAGAGGTTACTCCATCAGTGCAGGGTCAGATGCTGACACGGAAAACGAAGCAGTGATGTCCCCAGAGCATGCCATGAGACTTTGGGGCAGGGGGGTCAAATCGGGCCGCAGTTCCTGCCTGTCAAGCCGGTCCAACTCAGCCCTCACCCTGACAGACACAGAACATGAGAACAAGTCGGACAGTGAGAGCGGTAAGTTGTATTGTTTACTTTCCTATGTTGGCGATTCGTGCTTCCGTATTCCGGTTGACTGTGATTCATGTTTTCCTTGCATGCTTTCTCTTTCTTGTCTTTTCTTTTTGTGTTAAGGTGGTAGGGCCCAAGAAATTTTTGTAAACGGCGTGGGTGGTGGGATCAATATTTGATGTCAAATTATTAAATTGTGCAAACTCTGTATGGTGTGGTAGATATGGTTTTTGGAAAAACAGCTTGTGTACAGGAGCAGGGGAAAGAAAAGATTAAGTCTGACTTATATTGGATCATGTCACCTGTTAGCTTTTGTGGACTAGGAAAACCGTGTTGGTAAAAGTTTTCCCTGGGGTGAGCTTGCAATCAAAGATGTCTTAGCAGATTCCTCTTGAAGGTATCTCAAAGAAGTCGCAGGATCTTAGGATGGGTGAGTGGGCACACAGAGTAGTTTATTACCAGGGCTCAACTGATTGAAGAGCAAATTTGGTCTGCTTTAAACTTCCTAGCTTGTGAGAGCCATCGAAATCTCGGTAAAGGGTGGGAATGTGGCCTTTGATGTCTTTGGGAACTGGATTACTGTGCAATTAAGTCCACATACAAAAAATTGGATTTAAGGGTGTCTAAACAGCAGCTTTGCCTGGTCTAAAAAAATGTCATTATACATTACTAGTTATGTCCTACTGCCGGTGTGGAGTAATACTATAAAAAACTGTATGCAATAATGAATTGAAAAGAAAACTTAATATTTTAGTAAGACAGTACTGCTAAGAAGAATTGGAACAATGGCACCGACACAGAGACAATTAAAAAAGAAATCTCTCCAGCTTTTAATGTTAGGCGTGTGCTTCTCCTTCAGTCTGTTATTGATGCAGCGTCTATCCTATACATCCAACAGCAAAGAGAAAATTAAACCAGAAGAACTGCAGGATGTGTGAAAAGGAAGATGATTGTTTATTAATAATGTTTCACCTTTATTATTTATCGAGCATCTTTCTCGGCTTTGGTATAGAACAGGAGCGCAGATCTGTGCTTAGTTTTCGGTGTCAGCTGAGGTATGGCTTGACTCGGCGCTCCCTCCTGCTGCCTAGGCATTTCCTTGCTATTCATGGGGCGGAGAAGTTTCATTTCAATCCTTGGAAACAATTTATTTTATGTTGAATCTTCCAATGCGTTAATCCAAAGTGAAGCTAGATTACCAACAGCCGCTCGGTATCTTCCTGTTGGAAGTACGAGTCCTCCCTGGTATCCAGCTTTATTCCAACACCGTCAACAGGAAACAAGGAAGATTCTATCTCACAAAACACGAGTGTTAGAATCATGCAGCCCACATTTCCCTCAGCCAGTCCGTTCACCTCAGTACCGTCTGTGTTTACATCGGTTTTCATAGCAGATAGAGAAGTCACCAACCTTAACTACTTATAATTTGAAATGAATATTGCTTCATGCACTTCACATGAGACTCCTTGAGAACTACAGGTGTATGCTCACGTGCTGCATTTGACCTCTTTATTTTCATAATTACACAACAAAAAAATTACATAAAAGACAATGCATGCAGATATTACATTTCATTCTTGTTATCTGTACCATAAACAACCCATGTCTCTATTTAATGTTTTACATGGATTCGACTTACTTTTTCACTCCAAATCTTTGTGGCACAAATTTATTTTAGATTAGCTAATTATATATCAATTTTATTATTTTTAGTTATGTATCATGGCAGATTTCTTATTAACTAGAAGGGAAGGGCCTGCTCACAGAAAGAAGGAAAGTGAAGGAAAGTCGTACCTTCATCCCCCCGACGGCAATTAGGAAATGCCATCCAGACCTTCCCGTGGAGCTCTGGACATTTGGCAGCACTTGCCGAAGGTAAACAGGTCAGCTAAGAGCACAGAAGAAAGTGTCAAAAGCAATATTTTTTAAGTTAACCAGTGGCGACTTCAACTTGGGCTTACTCTTTCCTCAAGATCTGGTTGTGATTGCTTTTTAAACAACATTTTGGTGGTCTGAGAATCCTCGATGAGGTCCCTTGGAGGAAGGACACAAGAGGAAAGGAATTGATTGAGGTTATTGGCATGAAACCTGGCCATTCCGTGTCTTTCATAGGTGCCTCCATAAGAGTATGTCAGGTTCATTTGTTTGTTCTGAAATTTCAATGATTACTCAGAAGGAGCAAAAAGTCATTAACTGATTACATTTACTTCTAAGGAAGAGCAGTTATCTGAGGTATGTAGCAGCCTTCAGAATGATGGGTTGTGAAATCAAATAGAGGTGATGAAGACTTATTTGCCCTGATATAAAAAAAATATGCGTTCCCCCCCTTGGCTACTTTAAGGTAAGAATTAAAATTTGTAATTATATACAGGTCATTTAATATTTTTTATTTATTTCATGTGTATGGATGCTTTGCATATGTGTATGTCTGTGAGTCACATGTGTGCTGGAACCTCTAGAGGACAGAAGGCATCGTCAGATTCCCTAGAACTGGAGTGGCAGGTGGTCGTGAGTTCCTGTGTGGGTGCTGGGGATCAAACCTGGATCCTCTGGAAGAGCAGGCGGTGCTCATAGTCACAGGGCTCTCTCTCCTGCCCTAGACGAGTCCTCTACATACCCTTATAAACAATATCCTCAGAACTGTATTTTTGCTTTCACTACTACCTTTAGTCGAATATTTCCAACATAAAATTTAAAAATAAGTCTCAATTCTGCTCTCCTTGGGTGTTTTAATTTACTCTAACTTTGACAGAGTATTGATCTTCCACTTACATTTCATTGATTCCTCGGTTATTCATTTTCCAATTCTATTCACCTTGTACTGGCTGTAGATACCGGGCAAAGTCCTTAATGCGCCCATGCACGCGCAGGCGTGTATGTGTGTGTGTGTGTGTATGCATGCATTGTGTGCGCGTGTGTGTGTGATATTTTACAATATAAAGAGGAGTACATGGAAGACTTAAGTAAAATAATTTGCCATAATGACACCATAAAGGACCAAGATATGGCTGCGTTTTCATTGAGTTTAACGTGGGAGTTCCCGCTGCCCATTTTCATCAATGAGAAGACAGTGAATGAGGCTGCTTTTCCCTTGAAAAAGATGTTTGTATAGCTATCCAAGCTGAGTGCCTGTCATTCTAGCATAACGCCAAAGAAAAGTTAAGTCACTAAAGGGAAGCAGATTTCATTTATTTGTTGGCAAAGAGGCCTCCAGTTCACGTTAAGAGGTGCTAGAGCCACTGTGAAGCTGATGCGCCTCGGATGGCCGGAGCATCCCATGTGAGTAACGACCATAGGACCACACCACACAGCTCGCTGTTGGAAGAGATCACAGATTCAGAGCAAGGGAGAATGTGTTGTTGTTTTTTTCCTATTTTCTTTTTCTAAACTGACTTTTCATCAGCCATGAGAATTTGCGGTTCCAGAGAATTTGGAGGGGAGAAAAAAAAATCAGTCTATGATGCTTCCCGTGGAATTCCAAGCTTGGGGTATGGGAGAAGGCCTTTCTTGGTAGAACTGGGGTCTGTGGGAGCAATCCTTATTACATGTCAGCTGCCTGGCAAACCGGCACACACTGGATGGTGGTGATCTGTGACCCCCCCATTACCAGCCACTCCAACATGAAAGCCCTTGAAAGGTTACGAAATGAACGCAATGGGTACCCGAATCAAAGGTAAAATTACCCGTGGTTTTGGATCGTTTTCGGCTTCTTTACTCCCTCTGATGTGTGGTTGAAAGACCCCTGACCTAATTCCCACTAATCTAATCTTGATTCTGGAAGCCTATCTAAATGTCAGGAACAAAGGACTTGGCAGTGTTTTCAAACCATCCATCTTTTGGGCTTAAAGATGTTCTCATGTACATCGCTTCCCAGCGTTAGCAGCAGGCCTTGCATTTAATCTTAATTGGTTAACAGTGCAGTGTGGCAGACGGTGCCGGAGTGAAGACCTCAGCTCTCAGGGTTCCGATCCTCTTCACATCTGCCCCCCATCCTTGACCACTGCTGTCTGCGCCGCCGCTTACCCTGCCAGCACTTTATACCATGCCTGCTACTTGGTCATGCCAGGTTTGTTGGGGGGGGTCCCTAATCTCACTTTTTCTTGTCCTGTCGATCTCTTAGTGTTCCTGTGGTGGGGGGAGGTGATGTTTAATTGAAGTTTAACCAAAGGGTGGTGCTCAGTGTCAGGCTGCCCAGGAGGAGGTGGCCTTACTTTCTGTGTCACCACGACTCAAAACCTAGAGAGTGCTCCCTGAGGGTTTCTTATTGGCCCCTGGGTCTCCCAGTTCTGGGACCTGGGGCAAGTCACTTAATCTTTTTGTGTTATGGTGTCTACCTGGGTAAAGCTGAAGTAACAGCAAGCCATGCATAGCTCATTGGGATAAGACAATGTTGGGCTTAAATGGATTTGTATTGCGGTCAGGACTTGGCTATAAGTGGGTGTGTGCTGTTGTTTTTATTTACAAAGATGGGAAATCATATCCTTGAGTGATGATGAGAATTAAACCAAATGAGCAGTATCAAGTATCTGCCTAGCTTCGTAAATGATCCTGCTTCCAATCCACCTCTCCCTTCTTCTCCTGCTTTAGACCATAGTCAGGTATGTATAAGGTCTCGTAAGAAGAGGAAAGACAAGATTTGGGGTCTCCTCTGATGATTCGCAGAGTCTGTAATTTCTGTCACCATTTACTGACTTTCTTATTTTCTTTCAGAACCCCACATCCTTTTCAATTTACTGTAATTAAATGAACGTGCGTTGAATGGCGCTGATAATTAGTCTGATGGCTATAGACTTCAAAGGCTTCAGCCTGCTCCTTCCCCTCCTGGCCAAAGGAAATTTCAAAAGTAGTGTTTCCCTCAAAGGCATGTTCCTTAGACAGCCAGTCAATTAAAAGACCATTTAACTGATGCTCTCTGGTCCACACAATAAAATAAATCATTCCCACAAGACTCCATTTCTCACCTGGTGTCTTAGCGATGCGCCCGTCGCAGGACCCCGCTAAAGCCA